CAACAACAACCATGACCACGACAACAACAACCATGACCACCACAACAACAACCATGACCACCACAACAACAACAACCATGACCACCACAACAACAACAACAACCATGACCACCACAACAACAACAACAACCATGACCACCACAACAACAACAACCATGACCACCACCAAAACAACAACCATGACCACCACAACAACAACAACAACCATGACCACAACAACAACAACAACCATGACCACCACAACAACAACAACAACCATGACCACCACAACAACAACAACCATGAACACCACAACAACAACAACCATGACCACCACAACAACAACAACCATGACCACCACAACAACAACCATGACCACCACAACAACAACAACCATGACCACAACAACAACAACCATGACCACCACCACCACAACAACAACCATGACCACCATCACAACAACAACCATGACCACCACAACAACAACAACCATGACCACCACCACAACAACAACCATGACCACCACAACAACAACCATGACCACCACAACAACAACAACCATGACCACCACAACAACAACAACCATGACCACCACCACAACAACAACAACCATGACCACCACAACAACAACAACCATGACCACCACAACAACAACAACCATGACCACCATCACAACAACAACCATGACCACCACAACAACAACAACCATGACCACCACCACAACAACAACCATGACCACCACAACAACAACCATGACCACCACAACAACAACAACCATGACCACCACCACAACAACAACAACCATGACCACCACAACAACAACAACAACCATGACCACCACAACAACAATAACCATGACCACCACAACAACAATAACCATGACCACCACAACAACAACCATGACCACCACAACCACAACCATGACCACAACAACCATGACCACAACAACCATGACCACAACAACCATGACCACCACAACAACAACAACCATGACCACCACAACAACAACAACCATGACCACCACAACAACAACCATGACCACCACAACAACAACCATGACCACCACCACTACAAAAACCATGACCACCACAACAACAACAACCATGACCACCACCACAACAACAACCATGACCACAACAACAACAACAACCATGACCACCACAACAACAACAACCATGACCACCACAACAACAACAACCACCATGACCACCACAACAACAACAACAACCATGACCACCACCACAACAACAACCATGACCACCACAACAACAACAACCATGACCACCACAACAACAACAACCATGACCACCACCACAACAACAACCATGACCACCACAACAACAACAACCATGACCACCACAACAACAACAACCATGACCACCACAACAACAACAACCATGACCACCACAACAACAACAACCATGACCACCACCACAACAACAACCATGACCACCACAACAACAACCATGACCACCACAACAACAACAACCATGACCACCACCACAACAACAACCATGACCACCACAACAACAACCATGACCACCACCACAACAACAACCATGACCACCACCACAACAACAACCATGACCACCACCACAACAACAACCATGACCACCACAACAACAACCATGACCACCACAACAACAACAACCATGACCACCACAACAACAACAACCATGACCACCACAACAACAACAACCATGACCACCACAACAACAACAACCATGACCACCACAACAACAACAACCATGACCACCACAACAACAACAACCATGACCACCACAACAACAACAACAACCATGACCACCACAACAACAACAACAACCATGACCACCACAACAACAACAACCATGACCACAACAACAACAACCATGACCACCACAACAACAACCACGACCACCACAACAACAACAACCACGACCACCACAACAACAACAACCATGACCACCACCACAACAACCATGACCACCACAACAACAACAACCATGACCACCACAACAACAACAACCATGACCACCACCACAAAAACAACCATGACCACCACCACAACAACAAGCATGACCACCACAACAACAATAACCATGACCACCACAACAACAACAACCATGACCACCACAACAACAACAACCATGACCACCACAACAACAACAACCATGACCACCACAACAACAACCATGACCACCACAACAACAACCATGACCACCACCACAACAACAACCATGACCACCACCACAACAACAACAACCATGACCACCACAACAACAACAACCATGACCACAACAACAACCATGACCACCACAACAACAACAACCATGACTACCACCACAAGAACAACAACCATGACCACCACCACAAGAACAACAACCATGACCACCACAACAAGAACAACAACCATGACCACCACAACAAGAACAACAACCATGACCACCACAACAACAACCATGACCACCACAACAACAACAACCATGACCACCACAACAACCGTGACCACCACAACAACAACAACCATGACCACCACCACAACAACAACCATGACCACCACAACAACAACCATGACCACCACAACAACAACCATGACCATCACCACAACAACAACCATGACCACCACAACAACCACAACAACCATGACTACCACCACAACAACAACAACCATGACCACCACCACAACAACAACCATGACCACCACCACAACAACAACCATGACCACCACCACAACAACAACCATGACCACCACAACAACAACAACCATGACCACCACAACAACAACAACCATGACCACCACAACAACAACAACCATGACCACCACAACAACAACAACAACAACCATGACCACCACAACAACAACAACAACCATGACCACCACCACAACAACAACCATGACCACCACCACAACAACAACCGTGACCACCACAACAACAACAACCATGACCACCACAACAACAACAACCATGACCACCACAACAACAACAACAACCATGACCACCACAACAACAACAACAACCATGACCACAACAACAACAACCATGACCACCACAACAACAACCACGACCACCACAACAACAACAACCACGACCACCACAACAACAACAACCATGACCACCACCACAACAACCATGACCACCACAACAACAACAACCATGACCACCACAACAACAACAACCATGACCACCACCACAAAAACAACCATGACCACCACCACAACAACAAGCATGACCACCACAACAACAATAACCATGACCACCACAACAACAACAACCATGACCACCACAACAACAACAACCATGACCACCACAACAACAACAACGATGACCACCACAACAACAACCATGACCACCACAACAACAACCATGACCACCACCACAACAACAACCATGACCACCACCACAACAACAACAACCATGACCACCACAACAACAACAACCATGACCACAACAACAACCATGACCACCACAACAACAACAACCATGACTACCACCACAAGAACAACAACCATGACCACCACCACAAGAACAACAACCATGACCACCACAACAAGAACAACAACCATGACCACCACAACAACAACCATGACCACCACAACAACAACCATGACCACCACAACAACAACAACCATGACCACCACAACAACCGTGACCACCACAACAACAACAACCATGACCACCACCACAACAACAACCATGACCACCACAACAACAACCATGACCACCACAACAACAACCATGACCATCACCACAACAACAACCATGACCACCACAACAACCACAACAACCATGACTACCACCACCACAACAACAACAACCATGACCACCACCACAACAACAACCATGACCACCACCACAACAACAACCATGACCACCACCACAACAACAACCATGACCACCACAACAACAACAACCATGACCACCACAACAACAACAACCATGACCACCACAACAACAACAACAACCATGACCACCACAACAACAACAACAACCATGACCACCACCACAACAACAACCATGACCACCACCACAACAACAACCGTGACCACCACAACAACAACCATGACCACCACCACCACAACAACAACAACCATGACCACCACCACAACAACAACCATGACCACCACCACAACAACAACCATGACCACCACAACAACAACCATGACCACCACAACAACAACCATGACCACCACAACAACAACCATGACCACCACAACAACAACAACCATGACCACCACAACAACAACAACCATGACCACCACAACAACAACAACCATGACCACCACAACAACCATGACCACCACAACAACAACAACCATGACCACCACAACAACAACAACAACCATGACCACAACCACAACAACAACAACCATGACCACCACAACAACAACAACCATGACCACCACCACAACAACAACAACCATGACCACCACCACAACAACCATGACCACCACAACAACAACCATGACCACCACAACAACAACCATGACTACCACAACAACAACAACCATGACCACCACAACAACAACAACCATGACCACCACCACAACAACAACCATGACCACCACAACAACAACAACAACCATGACCACCACAACAACAACAACAACCATGACCACCACAACAACAACAACAACCATGACCACCACAACAACAACCATGACCACCACAACAACAACAACAACCATGACCACCACCACAACAACAACCATGACCACCACAACAACAACAACCATGACCACCACAACAACAACAACCATGACCACCACAACAACAACAACCATGACCACCACAACAACAACAACCATGACCACCACCCCCGTCTCCCCCACGTGTCTCCCCCTGTGTGTCCCCCCGTGTGTCTCCCCGTGTCTCCCCGTGTCTCCCCCCCCGTGTCTCCCCTGTGTCTCCCTGTGTGTCTCCCCCCCTGTGTGTCTCCCCGTGTCTCCCCCGTGTCTCCCCCGTGTGTCTCCCCACGTGTCTCCCCCGTGTGTCTCCCCCGTGTGTCTCCCCACGTGTCTCCCTGTGTCTCCCCCTCAC